GATCATTGGGAAATGGCCGGTTTTGGCCAAATCCTGGCCGGGAGCCTTTTGGAAGCAAATTTCTGCCATTTGGCGGCCCCTCGGCCGGCTATTGAATTTCTCTTCTGGGATCATTGGGAAACGGCCGTTTTTGCCCAAATCCTGGCCGGGAGCCTTTTGGAAGCAAATTTCTGCCTTTTGGCGGCCCCTCGGCCGGCTATTGAATTTCTCTTCTGGGATCATTGGGAAACGGCCGTTTTTGGCCAAATCCTGGCCGGGAGCCTTTTGGAAGCAAATTTCTGCCATTTGGCGGTCCATCGGCCGGCTATTGAATTTCTCTTCTGGGATCATTGGGAAACGGCCGTTTTTTGCCAAATCCTGGCCGGGAGCCTTTTGGAAGCAAATTTCTGCCATTTGGCGGCCCCTCGGCCGGCTATTGAATTTCTCTTCTGGGATCATTGGGAAACGGCCGATCGTTTTTGGCCAAATCCTGGCCGGGAGCCTTTTGGAAGCAAATTTCTGCCATTTGGCGGCCCCTCGGCCGGCTATTGAATTTCTCTTCTGGGATCATTGGGAAACGGCCGTTTTTGCCAAAACCTGGCCGGGAGGTTTTACACAGAGAAGCCTTTACTCTAAGGAGCTTTTGCACACAAACGTCTAGGAGCCTTTGCACACAGAAGCTGTTCCCCGAAGAAGTCTTTACACAGATACATATAGCTTTCATTCACAGACGCGTTTACACACAGAATCTTTTACACAGAGAAGCGTTTACACAGAGAATTTTACACAGTGAAATCTTTACACAGACGCGCTTTCACACAGAGAAGCTTTCACACACAGAAGCTTTTACACAAAGAAGTCTTTACACAAAGTGGTTTTTACACACAGAAACTTTTACACGCAAAAGCTTTTACACAGAGAAGCCTTCAGCCAGAGGAGCTTTTAAACACAAAAGCGTTTACACACAGCAAGCTTTTACACACACAGGGGCTTTTACACAAAGAAGTCCTTACACAAAGGAGCTTTTTACACACAGAAGGTTTTACACAGAGAAGTCTTTACCCTAAGGAGCTTTTGTGCACAAACGTCTAGGAGCTTTTTCACACAAAACTTTTTACACGAAGAAGGCCTGACAGAGAGGGTTTTTACACACAGACGCGTTTGCACACAGAAGCTTTTTTTACACAGAGAAGCCTTTACACAGAGGAGCTTTTACACACAAAAGCATTTACACACACAGGGGCTTTTACACAGAGAAGTCTTTACACAAAGGAGCTTTTTACGCACAGAAGGTTTTACACAGAGAAGTCTTTACTCCAAGGAGCTTTTGCACACAAACGTCTAGGAGCCTTTACACACAGAAGCTGTTACACAAAGAAGTCTTTACACAGATATATAGCTTTCACACACAGACGCGTTTACACACAGAGGCTTTTACACAGAGAAGCCTTTACACTTTACACAGAGAGTTTTTACACACCGAAGCTTTTACACACAGTGAAATCTTTACACAGACATTTCACACAGAGAAGCTTTCACACATAGAAGCTTTTACACAAAGAAGTCTTTACACAAAGTGGTTTTTACACACAGAAACTTTTACACACAAAAGCTTTTACACAGAGAAGTCTTTGCACAGAGGCGTCTTGACATGAAGTCACACGTTGAAATTGGCAGCAGTTCTTCGGGAAAAACCCTTGGCAGGAGCTTTCGGGCACTCACTTGCTCCCCAAAAAAGCCGTCTATTTCCAACAAAGTTCCTGTTCCATGTTTTTTTTCAAAAAACGTAAGGAATATATTCCTGAAGCAGGTCCCCATCCAAAAGCTTTCCAGCCCCCACACTGCGATGAAATGGAAGGCCGAGAAATCCGGCGGAGCCGACGAGGGGCGTTAGCCCTTAAATTCGGCTCCGCCGGCTCCCCACGAGTGGCTTGCCCTACGAGCGTCCCAAAGCGACTAGAGCTCTATGGTGAGGCGCGCCTCAAGCCGCCGACCCTCCGACGCCGGGCCCCGAAAAACACCAAAAATCCTTCAGGAGGGTGGGGGAGAGCTTTTTGGCCGGAATCCGGGTCGCTCATAAGCGTCTCCAAGAGCAAAAGGCCCCCCCCCCGTTTGGAGGGTACCTAAAATCGGAAAAAAGTGCCGTTTTGACACATTTTTCGGACGATTTTTCGCTTTTCGAAAGTCACAAAATGCTGAAAATTACAGCATTTTTGCGTTTTAACGTCTTTTGCGGGAGCCATGCAAAAATGCAGAAAATGCTGTAAATACCAATACTTTTTGGACCCAAGATGCACAAAACACCGCAAATACCAGTGTTTTTGAAAGCCAAGCAAAAAAAAACTGTAAATTACAGCATTTTTGCCGGGTTGATCGCAAAAACTGCTGGTATTCACAGTGTTTTTGCAATTTCAAGAAAACGTGGAAGGCACGAAACACTGTAAATAGCGGTGTTTTGGCCACTTTTGGACGCCGAAACGCTGGTATTTACGCAGTTTTTTGCCCGTGGCGGCGCCAAACCCTTGTAAATTACAGCATTTTCTTCCCTTTCTGAACCGATTTTTTGCCTTGATGAACGCAAAAAACGCTGGTATTTACGCGTTTTTCAAAAAATCGAAGATCGTGGCGTGAACGAAACCCTGCAAATAACAGTGTTTTAGCCACTTTCGGGGACTAAAACTGTGGTATTTACGCGGGTTCTTGCCATCTGACAGCGCAAAATGCTGTAAATTACAGCACTTGGTGCGCTGTTTATGTTCAATTTTTTAACCTGCGATGCTTTCACCTGTTCTTTGCATTCTTCCACAAGAAACAATGTTGCAGATTGAAACTGGACGACAGCGTGACCCGAAAGAAAGCTGGATGGAGGAGTCGCACAGAAGCTTTTACACATACAGGGGCTTTTACACAGAGAAGTCTTTACACAAAGGAGCTTTTTACACACAGAAGGTTTTACACAGAGAAGTCTTTACTCTAAAGGAGCTTTTGCACACAAACATCTAGGAGCCTTTACACACAGAAGCTGTTACACAAAGAAGTCTTTACACAGAAGGCTTTTTACACACAGACGCGTTTGCACACAGAAGCTTTTACACAGAGAAGCCTTCACACAAAGGAGCTTTTACACACAAAAGCATTTACACACAGCAAGCTTTTACACACACAGGGGCTTTTACACAGAAGTCCTTACACAAAGGAGCTTTTTACACACAGAAGGTTTTACACAGAGAAGTCTTTACTCTAAGGAGCTTTTGCACACAAACATCTAGGAGCCTTTACACACAGAAGCTGTTACACAAAGAAGTCCTGACAGAGAGGTTTTTACACACAGACGCGTTTGCACATAGAAGCTTTTACACAGAGAAGCCTTTACACAGAGGAGCTTTTACACACAAAAGCATTTGCACACAGCAAGCTTTTACACACACAGGGGCTTTTACACAGAGAAGCCTTTACACAAAGGAGCTTTTTACACACAGAAGGTTTTACACAGAGAAGTCTTTACTCTAAGGAGCTTTTGCACACAAACGTCTAGGAGCTTTTTCACACAGAACTTTTTACACGAAGAAGGCCTGACAGAGAGAGTTTTTACACACAGACGCGTTTGCACACAGAAGCTTTTACACAGAGAAGCCTTCACCCAGAGGAGCTTTTACACACAAAAGCATTTACACACAGCAAGCTTTTACACACACAGGGGCTTTTACACAGAGAAGTCCTTACACAAAGGAGCTTATTACACACAGAAGGTTTTACACAGAGAAGTCTTTACTCCAAGGAGCTTTTGCACACAAACGTCTAGGAGCTTTTTCACACAGAACTTTTTACACGAAGAAGGCCTGACAGAGAGAGTTTTTACACACAGACGCGTTTGCACACAGAAGCTTTTACACAGAGAAGCCTTTACACAGGGGAGCTTTTACACACAAAAGCATTTACACACACAGGGGCTTTTACACAGAGAAGTCTTTACACAAAGGAGCTTTTTACACACAGAAGGTTTTACACAGAGAAGTCTTTACTCTAAGGAGCTTTTGCACACAAACATCTAGGAGCCTTTACACACAGAAGCTGTTACACAAAGAAGTCTCTACACAGATATATAGCTTTCACACACAGACGCGTTTACACACAGAAGCTTTTACACAGAGAAGCCTTTACACTTTACACAGAAAGTTTTTACACACGGAAGCTTTTACACACAGTGAATCTTTACACAGACGTTTCACACAGAGAAGCTTTCACACACAGAAGCTTTTACACAAAGAAGTCTTTACACAAAGTGGTTTTTACACACAGAAACTTTTACACACAAAAGCTTTTACACAGAGAAGTCTTTGCACAGAGGCGCCTTTACACGAAGTAACAAGTTGAAATTGGCAGCAGTTCTTCGGGAAAAACCCTTGGCAGGAGCTTTCGGGAACTCACTTGCTCCCCAAAAAAGCCGTCTATTTCCAACAAAGTTCCTATTCGATGAACTTTTTTCAAAAAACATAAGGACTATATTTCTGAAGCAGGTCCCCATCCAAAAGCTTTCAAGCCATCACTGCGATGAAATGGAGGGTCGAGAAATCCGGTGGAGCCGACGAGGGGCGTCAGCCCTTAAAATATACACACACACATATATATATATATTATAATCATATTATATAAATATATACATTACATTGACAAGCATCCCCAAAGTCACATCCTCGCATGTCCGTACGGAGGCCACGGAGAGCAACTTGGAAAATCGTCGGTTTTGTTGAAGGTGATGACATGGTGATGACCACAACCAGAATTGCCCATGGATTCTTCCACTGAATCGATGTTTCAATTTTCTACTGGGGTTCACCAACAGCAATTAGCACAGGCTGAGTTCAATTTATTTCACCTACGCTCTGGTAATCAGTTTCAATGGCTGGAAATTCCTTCATTGACTTCTATGATTTTCCCAGCCAACGAATCACCTCGGTCGTTCGTGTCGGCATGTCCCGAAAAACCCAGCGGGCCGCGGGGTGGGGAAAACCCCCAAGCACCAACCGGCTCCAAGTCACGATGCGACCAATCACCCCATTGCCCGTGTAGAAGATGTGATCCCACTTCCGCGCCAAGAGCTCGGTGGATTCCGCAACACCACCAAGGTACGTTCGAAAGGTCTTTGGGTCCATGTACTTGTCGCACAAATCCTTGGTGGGAAACAGATCAGATCAGTTGGTGACTGGGAAACAGATCAGTTGGTGAACTTGGTGGATCGGTGAAGCAATCCAAAAAAATGGCTGTTTGGTTGTAGTGGACCCAGTAGAATATGGAATTACATGAGCGGTTACTTACACTTGTATGCTAAAAATTACAACTTGGCTCTGGAAAACTTCACCACATGACTCTCTCCAAACCGGACTTCTTGTATTTCCAGGACAACTGTGGGGACAGTTGTTGAATTTTTTTTAAGGGTACACGTTCTGAATGTACCACATCAATTATTCTTTGGATCATTGAATGATAAACTAACAATATTTCAGGCCAAAAAACCATCATTTAATCCATCCTTCATGATACTATTTAGTTCGAGCTTCACCATGTCATCAGCTCATTGTCTCACCATCATTTCATCTCAACCATTTCATGAAGCATATGTATGTTTCCTAAGCCATGGGCGTACCCAAAAAATGGATGGTTTGTAGTTTATAGTGGAAAATCCAATTAAAATGGATGATTTGGGGCTACCTCCAGCTTAGGAAACTTTCATATGATTCCACCCTCCCTTGTTTTACTACCATCTCAATCAAAATATTCACAATCGCATCTCACAATCATCTCAATCTCAGTTCGATCTCGGTTCTGATCCTTTCGCGAACCTTTCGCCATACGAATCCATCACTGATTCACCGTCGAGTCAAGATGATTCCATCACCATGTTGCCAACATCAACGTGTTTTACCCGCACAACATGCCACAATGATCCATCCATTCACCATGTCCCCAGCCCGTTGCCATCCATTCAGCAGCTTGGTCACCATCCTTCACCATCATTTCACCATGATTTCACTATCATTTCACCATCATTTCACCATCATTTCACCATCATTTCACCATCATTTCACCATCATTTCACCATCACTGCCCGGACCCAGAATTCCCATGTTCGCTGGTCAAACATGACATGTTTACACGTTGATTCGCATTGATTCAATCCCACATTCTGCTTCCTCAATAGCCGTGTTTCTTGTCAAAATACCCAATTGATGCTGGTCGGTCAAATCACAAGTTCCGCTGTTTTCAAATCCCAATTTGTGCTACTTCAAGCACCTTTTTTCCAGGTAAAATACCCATGTCATGGAAAAAAGCCTTCCAGCGGCCCCTTCGGTCAAATCCATGGCCTGCGTCAACGACAGCGCTGGCCCTGGCAAGACCCAGGTTGCTGGGGTCCCTCTGTTGGGATATGCCAATACTATAACCGTGTCAGACGGGATAGTTTCTATGGTCACTATGCTGATATGATAAGTATGGCTATTTCTGGGATAACTTCTATATATATATGTATAACATATATATATATACATTAATTTATATATATATACATTAATTTATATATATATATACATATATATATATTATATTATGTCTATTATTAGTTGATGTGGTGAATTTTTATGTGCTGTTCGTCAAGTTCTTGGCTCCAAGCAGTGGAGTCCGAGGCGCCCCAGGCTTCGTCGAGCAGTTCATTTAAGCTGTGGTACTTTTTTTCGGGGCTGTTGAAGCCATGAAAAATGCTGAAAATCGGGATTGAAACATTTTCTAAGTTGGGGAAGCAACTATGAGATTCTATTTCCCGCAACGGTGTCGTCAAAGATTTAGGCTGGGCAATCTACAAATCGGCTTTACGGCTGGGAAAATCATAGAACTATATACATGTTGGAGTTTCCAGCAAACCATGTTTGACTACTGGAGGGTACTACTTGAGCAATGGGATACCAGTATGTTCATTATGAGCTTTTCATTTTTTCTCTCGCCACAAGTACAACTGCCATGAATTGCCATGAGATACTAAGATGCAGCATGAGGCAACACAAGAAATGAAAACATCATACTCTTGAATACTTTTTGGGTAACGTTTCATAACCTTTTTAGTCAGACTGAAATGCTTCGCTGTTTTTGTCACTTCTTTTCGTCGGTAAGGCAACTCGCCATGCTTGCCTGATTGGAGTGTGACAAGCGCGGTTCGCTTGTTCCCCGCTTAAAAATCAGGACGCAACAATGTCTTGGACATGTCCGGCCACGGCCTAAAATTACAACACACACTGCGTTTAAAGCAATTTGCGTTTGTCTGAAAATAGGTTACCCCCAATTCCAATGGATTATATTGGATTATCATCATTGTCCTAATTTAAACGATTTAAAGATATGCATTTTTTTACATGACAATTTGGGGGTTTTGGTCTCATTTTCCCATGTGTCAGAATGCACATTCACAACTCTCATCCGTTCCGCCACAGCTGTCACTGCTCGTTGAATGCTCGTCTTCGACAACATCGGTTCCGCTGCGGTCGTTTGTTGCTGCCGCAATCCTCGCAGTCCTCGGAATCCTGGGCAATTCTGAAACCGTCAAAAAAACCTGGAAAAAAACATGAGATGCAGGAGCAAACTGCCATGATTTAACCATCAAACACTAACCATGAGGATTTAATCAAAGAAAATGGAAATTTATATTTGATGTGAGTGTGTCTTGAAGAATGAGTATACCACCCAAATGGCAATTTTGCAAAAGAAAATGATCGTGAAACATTAGGAACTTTGGGGTACCCTATCTTCAGATATCTTCAGACCATAGGGGCCTCCCCAGTTCGTTCCCAATTTTACATATATATATAAATAAACCCTCAAAAGGATAGAAAGTAGTGAACATAGTTCACCATTTGTCATGATTTTCCTCGTGAATTTACAAGATTTTTCTTCTCGGGTGGTTTTTTTTCTAGCAATGCTCTGCCGGTTGCTGTGCCCGTATCAGCGAGGCAATTGCCTTGCAAGCCCACGTGGTTTCAGCCCACCATAAGAGAGCCGATTTGTTGAAACATGTGCAGGCCACAGATTTTGAACTTGATGATCCTAGCCTTGGCATGGGTCCTTTTAGCGGAAAAATCCATTGTACTTGCACTTCGCGTAAGCATTGCCGAATCAAAACTAAAGTTTGCCAAGGATGCCAACTGTCTCAGACCGGCGTTGCCTCGAAAGTGTGGCAATCTCTGATTCGGGCTCAATATCCCACTTTTTCATCATGTTTTTTCTGAAAGGATTCCTCCAATTCATTTACGGTTTCCCGGAGTTGACCAAATCCACAGGAAAGGAAGACGAGCCCCAGCTGAAGTTGAGGAAATTATTAGGTTCACGCAACAGTGTCAGATCATGTTCTCCAGAGGTCCCACTGGGCCTTGTGTTCCTTGGACATTGGTCTATTACGATTTTTCGTTCTATGTTCCCCCGATCGAGTTTAGTCACTCAATATCCAACACTGCACCGTGCAGTGTGTGCCTTTCGTTCCCTCTTTGCGCAAGTTCTCAAGTGTGGCGGCTGCATGATTATCACTGTGCCCAAATGTACTCATTTCAAACCCCTTGGTTTGGGTAAAGTTGCGGGATTTTTCGGTTCCTTCTGCCCCCGGGCTGAAGGTGCCTGTTGGTTTGGGATCCTCACACGCTCTTGACGGTGGCTCTTCCCATAAGATTTCCGCCTCTAAGTTTGCTTGGTATTTTCCTTGATTCCAACGGTCTTTGATGTGTCGCTCGTCGCTCAGCTACCCGAGAGGTGTGTGGGCGTGAAGGAAACAGTAATATTTTTTTTGCGGTCATGATTTTTCTACATATATACATGTGTATATACATGTACATATATATATATATATATGTATATGTATATATATATACATATACATATGTGGATAAGATATATCCGGAGGTTTCTGAAAAAGGGGTGCCCCCAAATCATCCATTTATTTTTTTCGATTTTCCATGAAATAAACCATCCGGCTATTGGGGTGCCGACATGGCTTAGGAACCCCCCTTGTAAAGTCAAGCCTCGGGTTGACACTCGCCAGACTTTTCTTGGTCATCTGACTCAGGCGCTTCGCTGCAACTCGACCCACCATCTTCCAATCAAGGTCCACAACGCCCAACTCACCTGACGTCGGACACGACATCCCCGTAGAAAAAAATGGGTCATGTGGGTTGATATCTATTTGTCGAGACAATATGGACAAATGAAAAGCCGAGCTGGGCAGAGGCAGAGAGAAGGGAGAGTAGAAGAGAGAAGATCAGAGAAGAGAAAGAGTCAGAAGAAAGCAGATGCAGATGCGCGAAAAGGTAGGAAAGTCGCGAAACACTGCGTTTTTCCAGTGATTTGAGGGTCGAAAAGTAGGCTCGCTAAAGCGGCGGGTGCGGAGCCAGCTGGCCAGGCGAGAGATGAAAAATTGACCGCCGTTGTGGCGCGAAGCACATTTCGAAGTGAAAGTGTACAAAACACACCATTCTCGGACCACTTTTGGAAGTTGCGATGTCGAAAAAGTCCACGCCGTTGTGGCGCGAAGCACATTTCGAAGTCAAAATGTACAAAACACACCATTCTCGGACCACTTTTGGAAGTTGAGATGTCGAAAAAGTGCACGCCAATGTGACGCGAAGCACATTTCCAAGTCAAAATGTACAAAACACACCAGGTCCGGACCACTTTTAGAAGTTAAATGTCCAAAAAGTGCACGCCGTTGTGGCGCGAAGCACATTTCGAAGTCAAAATGCACAAAACACACCATTCTCAGACCACTCTTGGAAGTTGAGATGTCCAAAAAGTGCACGCCGTTGTGGCGCGAAGCACATTTCCAAGTCAAAATGTGCAAAACACACCATTCTCGGACCACTTTTGGAAGTTGAGATGTCGAAAAAGTGCACGCCAATGTGACGCGAAGCACATTTCCAAGTCAAAATGTACAAAACACACCAGGTCCGGACCACTTTTAGAAGTTAAATGTCCAAAAAGTGCACGCCGTTGT